CTGATGGAGCAAGGGGAGGAGACATGGCAGCAGAGGGAAAAGGTAGAGGGTTAAAAATATTTATTAATAACTTGGGTGGCATATCCAAACAAGCCACATGAACTCAATACTGGTGCACAACACAAAATTCATTTTGCTCATGTGAGGACTCTCTTAGGCTATGTCTACACTTGTTGTTTCTTGCGCAAGAACATCTTGCACAAGTGTTCTCATGCAAGAACACATCCACTCTTCCATGTGCGAGCTGTGCTTTCACACAAGAGCATCTATGGCAGTGTGGACACTCTGGGTATGTCTACACTACCCCGCTAGTTCGAACTAGCGGGGTAGTGTAGACATACCCTTACATAGTCCAAGTGTGAAAGAAAGCTTCCACGTAGGAGGATGCCCAGTGAAGGTTGGTGTTATCACTACCTGTTTTCTAATGGGGAAACATGTCCCTAGGATTAAAGGGGCCTTACTGGCATAATTTAAGCCTCATGAAACCAGTAGTACTATTTTTTTCCTGCAGACATATGCCTCTGCTGTGGAAGATCTCAATTTAAAAGAGGATTCTGAACATAGCCACCAGCTGGGGAAACCCTGATTACATGATCCAGTGTTGCTGAACTGCCAAAGGGTGGGTAAGAGGGGCTAGTTAGGTCCCAGACCAACACAGTGAATTCATACAGATAATCTTTGCTGCTGGTAGATCCCAAAGGACGCATGATGTTTTGTGCTCGGAAGTTTGAGCTCTTAGCCATGTGGCACAAACTCCACCCTCAGTTAAACAATTCAAGAGAAACTGCCTGATTCTCAAAGATTTCCTTTCTCTCTTCAGCTTCGCACATCAGGAGGGAGCAGTTACACTGGAAGAGGTAACTGTGAGGTTGTACAGCTATCACAAGGCTTGGCAGAATTTGATTTTTATGTATTACTTCAGCAGACAATATTGATGTTTATTGCAAGCTAATTTTACTGACTTAAATTTTCACAGTTGTAGTAAATTATAGGAGGCAGCTCAGACAATTATTTAATAGTAAATGTTGATATCCAAAGAGTTAAAGCTTTATAACCATTAACACACAAATTGTAAACATCACATGTCAAACATACAGAGGAAATGTTCTAAAATCAGACTCATAAAAATTCTCAAGCAGCATTTTTCTTATTTTGCCCATCTTGAAAATTAGATTACTATTGATGGAAATATTCTTTCATCAGGCACATGTGGTGGAATTGATGTTTATCAACATTTACTAATAAAAAATGAATCCTTTCAAGCCTAGATATAACATAGCTGAAAGCAGATGGTATGCTAAGTATATAGGAAATGTTTTATTTTTCTATAAAGTGAGTCCTTCCATTGACAGTTAATTAGGAGTATCATAGCATGAGATGTAGTTACCGGTGGAAAGTGCTTTGATAAGCAAGACTAATTCTGCTACAGTATAAAATTAAACAAAGATAGTGGGGTTCTATAGCCAACCTGTACATTTAAAAGAACTTCTAAATTAATACCATAACAAAACAGATATGTCTGCAATTTCTTCTGATCTGACTGCATCAAATATGTAGGATGTCTGACTTAGAATGCAGTAAGTATAACGTCTGTGGTGGGTTGGGGTGGGTTAAACCAGAATGGAAATTCACTGCATTGGCCTCTTGCAGTTTTGCACCATGTGCCATTAATTTCCTCTAATTCTGTTTGAATGGCTCACTTCTTTGTGAAAAGCAAAAATCCCTCTGAATGACTTCAAGGAAGAAAACACTTTTATTTTTTCATAGATCCTGTGTTAAAGGGTCTTTTGCTGCAAGCTTTCTGTATAAGGAATTTGCTCTAACTTTGGTGAGAGCTTCTTGTAGAGGGTTTCCAGGACTTGACCCAAAATTCAGGGATACACCTGTGCTATCACTAATATTCGTATGATCAGCCCACAAAGTACATGACAGACGATATTGCTAAGAAACGGCAATACTGTCTTTAATATGTGTGTTACACAACTGAGCAGTGGGTATTATTCATCCATCTCTGTGCCTACTTGGCAGAGGATAGGATTACTACAACCCCCACCAATAGTAGTTCAGCCTTCAGCTAAAGCTGGGGTGACTAAGGTGTTAGCTCTAGAATTTTGAGTTTCAGTTCCTAGTGGTGACCAACATGACATGAAGGAAGGATGGTTCAATGGTTAGGGCACAAGCCTATGATTTGGGAGAACTTATTCAGCTACAGATTTCTTACACAGCCATTTTGCCTTTTGTGCCTCAGTCTCCCCTGTGCAAGACGGAGATAATAGCATGGCCTTCCTCCCAGGGATGAGATAAAGATAAACTCTAAAGATTGTGAGGTGCTGAGATAGTATTGTAATGGGAAGGAGGAAGCAAATAAGTACCATACCTATGGTCTATATGGATTAATGTAAATCTCATAGAATGGTCTCCTGCATGTTTACTTCTAATGTTTCTCAAACATCCTCAGCTTGCCTCAATTGTGCAGTATTGAGAATAGTTAGAAATTTAAAGTGCTGACTGGCAAGCCCTGCATACTGGGAGGGTGGAGGGAACTCAACCACTTTCACTGCAAAATATTATATAGTTTTAAATTTCTTATCCACTGGAAAAAAATTAGTACTGACTTTCATTTTAAGGCAAGGCCACAATCACAAAAATTTGTCTCCTAAAACAACCTCAAAACTACCGGTATTCTTATTCAAACAATAACACAGTGGTCAGAAGTGTAGAGGGGGAAAAAGAAACAAGTAATAAATATTATAATATGCATAAAAATGAGCAGAAAAATGTTATCTATACGATTATAAAAGGAGAAGTGTCCATTGATGTGTGTCACAGAGAACATTTGAGAATACACTGGAAGATCTGAGAAGGCCAGGTCTGGGGTGGTTTCTCTAGTGGCCTAATGGATAAGGCATCAGTTTCCAGAGCTTGGAGTAGTGGGTTTGGGTCCCGGCCCTAGGCAGCTAACTCCAGCTGAGGGTGGGGAGGTGGGTTACCAGCTTCTCTAAGTCAGTGGTGAGCAGCTGGGACTGGAGCTGCTTGCAGTGAGCAGAGCCGTGACTGGCCTAGGTGATTATGTTAATCTACTCTAAACTGTACATTATTATTTGAAACCAATTACAATCTTTCTGAACCTAATATGTTTATTTTATAAATTAGCTTTGAAGCATGAGGACTGCTTCCTCCATTCTCCCTTCCAGGGGTATACTGGCCCAACAGGAGCAGAAATGACCATGGGAATGCCTCCTGAGCCATCCTAGGAAGCATCCTGAACCATCCAACACACAGGTGCGTTCAGGGAGGGAGTCAACCTGAGTCAACAGTCCATGCCTGGCTTGTGCAGTAGATGGTGCTTTTCTACACCACACCCAAGTCAGGGCTGTGATTAGTAGGTGTTGAGAGCTAATGTTGAGAACAGGTAATGGAAGCCATTTTCAGTGGGCAGAAAGGAATATTATTGAGTCTACATAGCCCAGTAACTATGCTATATATTCTTGAGAGCCATATACTGGCTCCCTAGCTAATTATTTACACACACACACACACACACACACACACACACACACACACACACGGCACTCCAGGAATCATCAGATCTAAAGAAAACAAGATCTGAAATCCTACACACACAAAAAGGAGGGTTAAGTTCTCAAAACTCTGATCACAGGATCTTCTAAACTAGATCCAAGAAGCTAGTCCATATCCAAGTTGACTAGCCAAACAAATGCTTCCATTTGAAAAAAAATGTCAAATAACAATGAAGATGTAAATGTAACATCTCACGGACACCATAAACAAGAATTAACAAAGCACCAAAATCTGAAACATCCTGCTTTTACAACAAAAACTTAATTGATCTGTCAGGAAATTAATTTTAGCCCCAGACTGTCTATTACATTGCTGTCAAGTTAATCTGAGGACCAAAGTCCAGATTTTAAAAGGTATTTAGGTGCCTAACTCCTATTGATTTCATTTAGTTAGGTGTTTAAGTACCTTTAAAGATGAGTCAGATCCCAATACATATCACATGTCATTCAACCTATGACATCAAGGATACATGTCAGAAGAAGAATTTAACCTAAAGTGTCCTCCTTTATCATGAAGGAAGATTAGAATATTATTTGCATCCATTGGTGTGACTAACAATTCCTTTGTATTTGAAGCAAATAAATGTATATTTAAGAGCAAGCCTTGCTTGCAAGCAGAGAGGACTCTATAGCAAAACATAGGAGCAGAGTCAGTTTGCAATCTAAAGTATGCTGGGGTAAGTTGTACCTCTCTGTATTAGGGAACAGCCTGCTTTGTCTCTATGGCTGTGTCCAGACTCCATGCCTCCGTCGACGGAGGCATGTAGATTAGCCAGATCGGAAGAGGGAAATGAAGCCGCGATTAAAAAAAATGCGGCTT